CTCTGGATGGGAGTCAGAGTGGGTCACACTATCAAAATGATTAGGACAAAAAAAAATTTAAAAAGTGATATCCCTAAGGAATTTGTGTGCAAATATACCCAGGAGGAATGCAGCCAGTTGGGTCCTAATTTACACGTTGTATTCACCTGTCTGAAGCCTCCAAAGACACTGAAAGGTCAGAGTCCAGTATTCTGTTAAATTAAATTAAATTTGGCCTGAGGATGCCTCAGTACTGGATTCCTTACATACCCAACCTAGCATGTAAACTAACTGCCTCCTTTGGGGGATATACTGAATCAGAAAAGGCTTAAGAAAATCAGTTTTGTGGTCAGAAAGACCTGAGTTCAAATCAAGACTCTTCCTCAAGTTATCCTTGTCTTTGAGTCTTGGTTTCCTTCTCTGCAAAAAAGAGTATCTTACAACAGCTCTGACTCCATAGTTTTTAAAAAATCTTTATTGAGATGTAATTTGCATACCATGCAATCCACACATTTAAAGTGTAAACCCAATGATTTTTAGCCTTGTAGGGTTTTTGCAGGATTTAATGATGTAAAACACATAAATTGTCATCACTATTAACAATTCTTTGTTCATCGTTTTGTTTTCTTAGGGTAGGTTCTTAAGCAACAATACAGGGTAAAAGCTTGTAAACTTCTCGAGTGTTTTGTAAATAGGCCTTGTGAAGATAGGAAGTGGTCTTTAGAGGGTTTTTAAAAATGTGGGGGGTTTTTGGGGGGGGTTGGTGTTTGGATACAATTTGGAGGAGCTGGTATAACATTGTTGGGCTATTTATTCAATTCAACATTCCCCCTTGTATGACCTTGAACTATACTCACCCCAAGTTTTACACGCAGTAATTAGGAAAAGTCAATTCTGGTTCACTGAGCCTCCCTGCCCTGTCATCCACCCCTGCAGAGCCACCAGCTTGCCCCTCTTCATATCCAAGTGAGAATCCTTCGGTGACAGTTGGATTGGTACCATCTGCAATTGCCCATATTAACTCACACCAAGTAAGCTGTGTGGTGGGCAGGAGGGAAGGAGAGGCGGTGGGTCTCTGCCAACTCCACGGGGTGCCCAACTTACTTACCAGCAAACCATAAAAACATATTCCATTTGGCTGTGGGAGGACCGACTGCAGGTTTCAGGGCTGACTTAGTGAAGTGTCAGCCAAATCCAGGAGTGTGTTGCACCAGACTGGTATGTGGGTGAATCCTCAGCCTTCCTGCAGGTGTGGGAGCAGGTTACGTGAGATAGGTGTGGGTTAGGTGATGAGAGATGAGAGGAAGGTGCAGGGAGGGTGGGTGGGTACAGAGGTGGGTGAGGGTGGAGGCAAAGAATGGGGCCCCGGCCGAGGTTGGACATTGTAGTCAGATCAGTGGTTTGGAATCATTTTTGGGTCATGGCCTCCTTTGAGAATCTGGTGAATGCTAAGGAAAGAATGCATGCACACACACACACATACACACTGGCCTACAAGTTTTGCACACAGTGTCAGGAGTTCCTGATACCCAGAAAGCTCATCCAAGGGCTCAGGATTAAGAATCTCTGGTCTGGACTACTTCATAGGGACTTGTCCGAAAGAAATCCTAAAGCTGCATTAAGAGCTTGAGAACATTTGTGTTTTCTCATGTGACAGATATTTAGGGAGGTTTACAGGTTTGGGAATTAAATTACAAAGCCTACTTATTCCATAAATGCTTTATTTATTTTCTTCCAGTTTTTATTTTGAAAGATTTCAAATCTACCAAAAAGTGGCAAGCTCATGTGCTCTTTAACTACATTCATTAATTTCCGACATTTCCCCCAGCTGCTCCCCCTTCCCCACTTCCCATGTGCTCATGCTCTCAGGAGCCCATTCTATTCTGGAGAACCATTTGAGAGTAAGTTGCAGATATTATGATACTTTATCCTGGTCTTAGTCTGTTTTGTGCTGTTATAACAGAATATCTAAGATTGGGTGACTTACAAAGAACAGAGATTTATTTCTTATGGTTCCAGAGGCTGGGAAGTCCGAGGTCAAGGGGCCTGCACGTGACAAGTGCCTTCGTATTAGTCTGTTTCTGTTGCTTATAACAAAATACCTGGAAGTGGGTAATTAATAAGAAAATGAAATCTATTGCTTACATTTTCAGAGGCTGGAAAGTCCAAAGTCCCAAACATCTGGTGAGAAACACATTGGATAAGGGTTTTGGTGGTGGTGACATTTGGTGGTGACCCAGAGGTCTCACATGGCAGAAAATGGAGGAGCAGAGAGAGACTAACTTCTCGTATACTTTTCTTTTAAAGCCCGGAGAACCACACCCCTGACCATCATTATTAATCCATTCACTATGGCATGGTCCTACAATCTAATCACCTCTTCAAGGCCCCACCTTTCAATTACCATAATAGGATTTCCCACCCTCAACAGTTACAGTGGGGATTAAGCCTCAATGAGTTTGGGGGAGGCATCAATCTACAGCAGACTTCTTGCTGCATCATTTCATGATGGAAGGTGGAAGGGCAAGAGAGCACACACATGCATGAGAGAGAGAGAAAGAGAGACAGAGACAGAGACAGAGAGACAGAGACAGAGACAGAGAGAAAGGGACTGAACTCATCCTTTTATCAGGAACCCACTCCCAAGATGATTAACCCACTCCAGAGATAATGGCATTAATCCGTGAGGGCTCTGCCCTCATGACCTAAGCACCTCTTAAAGGTCCCACTTCTCAGCACCATTGTATTGCGGATTAAGTTTCCAACACATGAACCCCATTTATATAACACATAAACACATTCAAACCATAGCAATGCCTAAACACTTGGCATTGAACTCCTAAAATCAAGGCATTCTCCTGCATAACTACAATATGATGATCCCACTTACAAAATTTAACATCAATATGATACTATTATATATTCTATGTCCAAATTTTCTCAATAATCTCAACAGCGTCCTATTAGCTGTGTTCTTTCTCTCTCCGTCCCTCCTTTCTTTCCTACCTTTTTAAAAACAGGATCTAATCCAGAATCACACACTTCATTGGTTGTTATGTCTGTCTCCCTTAATCAAGACCACTACTCCAGGGTTTTGTTTTGTTTTGTTTTCTCTTGTGAGGTTCATATTTTTGAGGAGTCCAGGCTAACTGTTTTGCAGAATGTCCCCTAGTTTGGATTTATCTGATGGTGTCCTTGTGATTTGGTTTAGGTTAAACATTTTTGGCAGGAATACTACATGGGTGATAGGTCCCTTCTTAGTGCATCACATCAGAAGTTCAGTTGGTTCCTTACTAATGGTAAGTTTGATCCATGGTTAAGGTGGTGACCTTCAGGTTCCCCTTTGTAATCAGTAAGTCATCTATGGGGTAACACTGTACTCACTGAAGGCCTCCAACTGTGACAAATGTGGGGTGAGCCAGGGGTGAGCCTCCAGACTCGGTCATTGCTTTCATACTGTTTACAGGGGAGGGGACAGGCAATAAAGCAGGGAACAACTAATGACAAGATATGCAGTTTTACAAAGGATGTGGATAGGGTGCTTGACAGAAAAGTATCAACTCTAGATAAAGTGACCTTCGAGGTGAGACTTGAAGAGGAAAAAGAAGTCAGCCATGGGAAGGTGGGTGTGCAGGGAGTGGAGGCAGTTTTGGCTAAGCTTGGAGGATAGAAGGAACTGAAAGATGGGTGTGTGGTGGTCTCAGCAGGGGGAAAGTGATAAGAGAAAGGCCCCAGGTCTGGAAATAATATTGAGAACTTACTGTCATAATATTGAACACTGTTCTAAGTGTTTCACATGGTTTACCTTGTTCAGTTCCCCCTGCAGCCCCGTGAAGTGCATGCTATTACTGGTTTTATGCTGTAAAATCTGTAGCACAGAGTGGTTGAGTAATTGGCGCAAGGTCACGCAGGTTGTAAGTAGCAGAGCTGGGATTCAGACCTGGACAGATCTTACTCTACAGTCTGTGCTCTTAGCTATATCAAGGAGGAGGAAGCAGAGTCTTATTCAGAAAACACAACGTTGAAAAGTTTGGTTGGCCACCCCATCTTCAGTCCATCCCCAACCCCTAGCCTCTCCCTTCAGGCAGGACTCGCAGTTCTTTTCCTGCTTTCCCTCTTCCCAAACAAAAACAGGGTATTTACATAGTCTGAAAGTATCTCCCCAATAAATTACTTACTAATTACAAAGGGGAAAAGAATAACTTTCAGCCGAGCAACGTGGCGGACTCCAGCTTAACCAAGTGACCGAAATGGACATTCAGAGGGTTCTCAGGGAAGACTCTGGAAGGGAATTTGGAGGAAAGTGTGGGAGAAGGGTTTGTGAGGGGGCTCTGGATGAAGAGAGAATGGGAGGTCTTGGGGTTGAGGAGTCTGTAGTGAGAAGACAGGGTTGGGTGGGGGTATTTATGGGAGAGAGAGAGAAATCTTGGGGTGGGGGAGTTTCTGAGTCTTATGAGCGAGTCATTGGGGAGGGACTTGATGGGAACAGTCTGGGTGACAGAACAGGGTCAGCATGGGAAATCTTCAGGTGGGTGAACTCCGGGTGACTAGAGGTGGAGGGCTGGGGGTTGGCGTCTCCGGACAGTCCTGAAAGGGTCAGGACTGAAGGGTAGGACTCCGGGGCAGCTGTCTGTGGGTGGGGGTGGCGCCGTGGTGAGCGGTCCAGCCCGAGGATGGAGCGAGGATGTGAAATAGGCAGGTGCTGTGCAGCCACAGACAGAAGGGGCACCCTTTGGGCTTCCGGGTGGATGCTTTGCTCACCACTCTAGACGGTCAGAGCGTTTCCTTCCTACCCTATTTCCCCAAGCTAGGAGGAGCCAATTAGGTTAGGAGCTCTGCAGAGTGAAGGGAGCCTAGTTTATCTTGTGGCTTTCATTTAGGTAATGAGTTATGGTGTGATGTATAGACACTTCCAAGTACTTGATTAATGGAAGCGGCTAGATGGGGTGTATAATGAGCATAGGTTTCGTCAATCCCAAATTCTGGCATTTATGTGTGTCTCTTGCCTTTCACAGTAATCAAGATGATTACCAACTGGTTCGAAAACTTGGTCGGGGAAAGTACAGTGAAGTATTTGAGGCCATTAACATCACTAACAATGAGAGAGTGGTTGTAAAAATTCTCAAGGTGAGTGTCCTATGAGTGGCATGGAACATTTTTTTCCCCACAGGTTGGAAAGGATGTAGCTACTTTAGCCACATTGTAGAATAAGCAGCCCACGCCCTCGTTTTACATATCTTCTGTCTGATGTCCCTCCACTACTCCTTCCCTCACCCCATTTGCCTTTGAACTTTGAAGAAAATGTGCAGACTGGTCTCAGTTGATAGTTCAAGAACACCCCTGTTGTAAACTGTAAATTATGGGCTCCCAAAGCAAAAATTCCAAAACGGCTCTTTTTGCTAAAAAAATAGATAGGTATTAGGAAGAAAAAAAAAAAAGCCTTTTCATAGAGATTACATCAATTCATCAAAGGGCTCCTTGAGCACTGTGTTTGTTACTCTTGGTTCCCTAAGTTATTCTAGAAAGAAAATTGGAAAAGATTGGAGTGGCTTCAGAGAGAAATATGCAGCCCCAGTGGAGGGGAACTGCTCAGTGGATAATTGCTTGTTTCTTGTCTTTTGGCAATAAAGTTTCAGGTGGGATGGAGACAGTGAGCCATCAGAATTCGGAAGCTAGTGAGTTGTTGCTTATCAGCTAGTAAAAGTGAAATTTGGAGCAGTAGAGAGCACACTCACAATCACTAAAATAATAATTGGCACAGAACTGTCTTACTATCTGGCTTTGATAATGATTTACCTTCTGTTATCTCTTGGATGATGACATGATCTTAATGAGCATGACTTGTTGGCTAAATTTTCTTTCAGATAACTGATTAACTGTGTAACTTTAACAGTGTTTTATAGGGTATACTCTAAAAAGTTGTATACATGATTTCCATTGTGGCGTTTTGCAGAGGTTCTGTGGAATAAGAATGTGAAATTGAAAAGCTGTTTTTGTGTGTTAGGGCAGCTTGTAAGTAGTCTTTGTTTAATGTGAGGGGTCAGGCTTATAATTTTTGGAAATCATCTTTCAGAAAAATGATCAACTCCATCACTCAGTACCATCCAAGCCTAGTGATGAAGGAGCAGAATTGTGGTAGAGAGAAATAGGCAGTTATTTGTGCTGTCAGAAACACTGGGGTTGGGCCGGCCCGTGGCTCACTCGGGAGAGTGCAGTGCTGATAACACCAAGGCCCCAGGTTCAGATCCCATTTAGGGATGGCCGGTTCGCTCACTTGGGAGAGCGTGGTGCTGACAACACCAAGTCAAGGGTTAAGATCCCCTTACCGGTCATCTTTTTAAAAAAAAAAAAAAGAAAGAAAAGAAACACTGGGGTTGAGAAATGAGGAATTGACGTTGAAGACAGGGAGGTGTCCCTAAATATGATTTGTACCTATAGAGTGACAACGTCCTTTTTTTTTCCTAAACAAGCATAAATATTTAAAGAAATGTTCCCTTTAAGGAGGTCACTTGTAAGACCATACAGTTCCTTTATGTGCATAAACATAAATGTCTTTAATATAAGCTGCTAAACATCTTTCTAAGAATGAGCAAGGCGTAAATTGAAGTTAGGAATAACCACATTTAACTGCTATGCATTCAGAAAAATGAATTGCTGACTCTAATGCAATTTCAAGAAAGTGTCTAAACTTTTATGCAATGGCAGCATTTTTAGAATAAATGTGCAGTTTCCTGTGATGTCTTTTTTGAAAAGAATAGCATTTAGATGTATGTATATATACCACTGTGTTCATTTAAGAAAGTATCACATTGCTTTTCAGTCATCCTTGTAAAGAACCTCATAGCATCAGTTGCTAGATAGTTTTTCTCCTGCTCTAAAGATTCTCCGGATGTTTAAAGAACCCAATATGGAAGCTGCTACAGGTTATTTTTACAAATGGGAGACCTAGGCACAAAAACTTATCTAACATCATTATGTTAAAATGACACTTAGCCAGAACACCTTTTTTCTATGTCTTCATGTCTCTGACTGCTCATTTTAGCATTGGATTGTGGGATCTTAACATTGAATTTAAAATAAGTTCCAGTATTCTGGAAAAAGACTTGGAAGGCCCCTTTGATGCTCTGGTTAAGAAGTGTCTCTTGTTTCTTTTCAACACGATTTCTTTTCTTTTCTTTTTTTTTTCGGTCTTTTTTGTGACCGGTAAGGGGATCGCAACCCTTGGCTTGGCGTCGCCCGCACCGCGCTCAGCCAGTGAGCGCACCGGCCATCCCTATATAGGATCCGAACCCGCGGCAGAAGCGCCGCCGCGCTCCCAAGCGCTGCACTCTCCCGAGTGCGCCACGGGGCCAGCCCGACACGATTTATTTTCATGGCATAGCCTGAACCACCTTGTTTCCATCAGTGAAAACTATACTCACTTCTTTGTGTTTTTCAAAATGCTGTGGCATTTCTATCCAAATTTCATTCCTATCTGAAGGATGGGATGGAGTAAGAAACCACTAGTGGTATTGTTGGGGTTTTGTCATTTAAATGGGTTTAAAGTATTATTTTAAGAGAAAAAATAGGGTCTTTATCCAAAGTTGTGCTCCTTTATCCAAATAAATTGAACTTATTAGTAATATCTGATGTTGTGGTGTTTGGTAACAGGGAATTAGGTCTTAACAGAGTACCAGCTGCTCATAATTTGGAGGAATCTAAAAAAGGCTACCTTTTCATATAAGCCTACTGTATTTCAACTGCACTAAGGAATGTATGTATTAATGTACACAGTGACTGAGATAGAGGGTATATTCCTTGAGGATGGGCTGTCTTCCTTTTTTAGTCAATAACATTTTATATCAGTCCTTTCCAATATATGAGAATGACTGGATGATGAGTGACCACAGAGGAATTTTGTATCATTTAATTTGTATCAGCAGATTTCTAAGTATTTTATTCATCAAAATATATTGGGGCTGTTAAGAGGTTTCAGGAATTTAGAAATGGTGAGTAAAATTTTACTGTTATCCTCAAGTGAAATCCTGAGGCTCAAATCTTAAAAGAAAACTTTCTAATCAATAGAGAGGATTTTTTTGTGTGTGTGCCAGAAATTGTTTTGAGAAGGAGAGAGAGAAATGGGGAAACGATAAGGGTTCATATAGCCAGTGGAAAGCTAATTTAGTGTCAAAAGTTTCATATTTTGATTCTGAAAAATAAATTCTTCAGTTCCTTTGTAGTACCTCTTAGAAGGATATACACAGAAATAAAAGCATTTGGCTATTTTTGACAACTTCTAGCATTTTGTGAGCAATGCCTGTGTGCAGATTTCAGTATTTCTTGGGATCTTTCAAATTAAATCGCTACTTCCTGAATAGAAGTTAAGAGCAATACTGTTTCTTAAAACAATTGTATGGCTTTTTGAACTAGTGCTACAGTAACTTGGAAATTGTCATATAAGGCTTCCTGTTATAAAGGTCTTATTTTGTTTATTTTTTTTTTCCTTTTTGTCTTTTTTCGTGACCGGCAACGGATCGCAACCCTCAGTGTCGTGCCCGTACTGGACCGGCAACGGGATCGCAACCCTCAGCGTTGCGCCCGCACCTCGCTCAGCCAGTGAGCGGCCGGTCTGTATGTGGGATCCAAACCCT